GCATGCCACCCTCGCCGCCGGAGCCGTAGAACTTCATCATGATGGGGTTGGCAATACCCTCAAGCTCCTTCTGGTGCTCCTCGTACTCCTCACGAGTAGCCTGCTGGTTGTCGTCGAGCCACTCAACGACCTTGTCAATCTCGGTCTTGAGCTTGTCCTTGTCGCCAGCCTCAATCTTCTCCTCGACCTTGGGGTCGGAGAGAGTGTTGCGGAGAGAGTAAGCGTAGGACTCAAGACCGTTCTTGGCAGCGACACGGCGGCCCTCAGCCTCATCCTCCTCCTTGTACTTCTCGGCATCCGAAAGCATGCGCTCGATGTCCTCCTTGGAGAGACGGCCCTTGTCGTTGGTGATGACAATCTTGTTGGACTTGCCGGTGCCCTTCTCGACGGCAGAGACGTTCATGATACCGTTGGCATCAAGATCGAAAGTGACCTCAATCTGGGGAACACCACGGGGGGCAGGGGGGATACCGGTGAGCTCGAACTTGCCGAGAAGGTTGTTGTCCTTGGTGCGCTGGCGCTCACCCTCGTAGACCTGGATGAGGACACCAGGCTGGTTGTCGGAGAAGGTAGAGAAGACCTCGGACTTCTTGGTGGGGATGGTGGTGTTGCGGGGGATGAGCTTGGTCATCATGCCACCAGCAGTCTCGATACCGAGGGAAAGCGGGGCGACATCGAGAAGCAGGATCTCGTTGGTGGCCTTGGAAGAAGTGTCACCGGACAGAATGGCGGCCTGGACAGCGGCACCGTAGGCAACAGCCTCATCGGGGTTGATGGACTTGTTGGGCTCCTTTCCGTTGAAGTAGTCGGTGATGAGCTTCTGGACACGGGGGATACGGGTAGATCCACCGACGAGAACGATCTCGTGGACAAGGGACTTGTCGATCTTGGCGTCACCGAGGACACGGTCGACGGGCTGGATGGTGGATCGGAAGAGATCCTGGCAGAGCTCCTCGAAACGGGCTCTGGTGATGGAGGTGTAGAAATCAATACCCTCGAAGAGAGAGTCGATCTCGATGGAGGTCTGAGCGGAAGAAGAAAGGGTTCGCTTGGCACGCTCGCAAGCGGTTCGGAGACGTCGGAGAGCACGGACGTTGGTAGAGAGATCCTTCTGTGAGGGGGGTTAGTGTATGTTTTGACAAATCATGACAGAGAATGCGAGGATGATGTGAGGAGATCAAAGTCCATCATAAGGAAGGTGGGGGCGGGGTAATGGACAATGATTCACGATTGAATCCAAGGAGTGAACCCATGGAGAAAATCGCAAAACCTCGGAAAGAGAATGGGAATGACGGAGAGGGAATTACTAACCTTGTGCTTGCGCTTGAACTCATTGACGAAGTGGTTGACCAGACGGTTGTCGAAATCCTCACCACCCAAGTGAGTGTCACCGGCAGTAGACTTGACCTCGAAGATACCCTCCTCAATGGTCAGGAGAGAAACATCGAAGGTACCACCACCGAGATCGAAGATGAGGACGTTGCGCTCACCCTCGATCTTCTTGTCAAGACCGTAGGCAATGGCAGCGGCGGTAGGCTCGTTGATGATTCGGAGAACGTTGAGGCCAGCAATGAGACCGGCATCCTTGGTAGCCTGACGCTGAGAGTCGTTGAAGTAGGCAGGAACGGTGACGACAGCGTTGTTGACGGTCTCACCGAGGTAAGACTCGGCGGTCTCTCGCATCTTGGTGAGAACCATGGAGGAGATCTCCTCGGGGGTGAAGGTCTTCTGCTCGCCCTTGAACTCAACCTCGATGATAGGCTTGCCACCCTTGTCGATGATCTTGAAGGGGAAGTGCTTCATGTCGGCCTGGACCTCAGGGTCGGCGAACTTGCGACCGATCAAACGCTTGGCATCGAAGACAGTGTTCGTGGGGTTCATGGCAACCTGGTTCTTGGCGGCATCACCGATCAGACGCTCGGTGTCGGTGAAACCGACGAAAGAGGGAGTGGTTCGGTTACCCTGGTCGTTGGCGATAATGTCGCATCTGAATAATAGTTAGAAGCTGCTGATGAAGAAATGATGGGGAAAAGAGCTTACCGGTCCTCACGGAAGATACCCACGCAAGAGTACGTGGTACCCAAATCGATACCGACGGCGGGACCCATTTTGTGTGATGTGTGTGAAGATGTGTGATGTGCGAAAGAAGAGAGATGAACGCGGGGAGAAAGGAAAAGGAAATCGCAGTTGCTTCAAAGGGGGGGATGGAGGTATTTGAAGGCTTGAGAGGGTATCTGAGAGATGTGTTGTTGTGAGAAGAAAATCGGATTGCGGTGCAGCAGTCGCAAAAGGTGCTAAATAAAGGCGGGTGCCAAGGTTCGATGCGGTTCTGCGCTGTTCCAAAGGAGCCCACTTCCTCAGAGCTTCTGTGGATGTGCGTCGCTTCTGGGGAGTGCAGGGGGGGGCGCTGCTAGGCGTTGCTGGGGGGGGGTGGTGGGGGGGGGGGGGGGCGTGCAGGGGGCGTTTGAGGAACCCTCTAGCAGCTGCGAGCGCCTGGCAGATCTGTTGTGCCCCACCAAAAAATGGGAACTTGCGGCGGCGTCTCCTGGACAATGGATGGGGATCTCGCTGGTTTGCTGCTTCTGGGAGATTCTTGAAGCCGCCGGGTACAATTCGAGCATGTCCACTCGCTTCTCGTTTGTTCCCGCTTCGTCTGTTGGCCGTTTGGCTCGTACGCGGTGCCTGCCTGTGCCTGTCTGTGCTCGTTGATGTCATCCCCCTCCAAAAACCACCACCAAAAACCTTCCCCTCCCGAAAATTCCATCGCGGGGCATCCGAGCCAGGGTCAGCCAAGCTCCAGGTGTCGAATACCTGATCGTCAATGGGGCGGTAGGTTCAGATTCAAGTACATGCTACTTCTGCCCCACCAACGACATCAGGCTGACAGAGAGCTCCCTCATTGACTGCCCCTCCTCGACTGACTCTGCTACATTGATTTTTTTTTCTTTGTCGCTCTTCTCTCCCTGTGGTTTAGGCAGAGTCACCGTAGACAGCTTAGACTACGCCGCCATCATCGAGTGTCATAATTGATCAACCTTTTGTGGCAATGAATAAGAAAATTCAGATATTTTCTGCTATCAAATTTGACATCCGGCCGGAAAGTAAGGAACTTGACATCGGCCATCTTACGACCTTGATGAAACAGGTTTGAATGCCTTGCTGTCCAACTACCTAACCTAAACTGCTGGCTACCGCTACTTTGAAAATGCAGGCATGCAGGCAGCCAGGCACTCTGAGATGCAGCACACCTATTTCCTGCTTCCATTCTGAGACTGTCCTCTCTCGGCCTGGCACACCCGAGAAGAAAGTCAGACTGAAAAAAACGGGTACGAATCACTCATGGCTGGATCCTTGCAGGACGGAGTCCATATCGATCAGGCTGATGGAAGGCTTCCATCGGCGTCTTTGGTCAGTGCCTCACTGCAACTCGAACCGTCAACAAATGCATGTTTAATCTTTAGAGACCCGTTGGGCCCCTGATTCCATCATCCCTGGGGGTGGGTCCGCCCGTCGATGCTCTTCTCTGGCCATCTTTTCCTTGCCTCTCCCTCACCCGTGCTGGGAAGCGTCGCATCCTCACCTTCGTGGCGCTTCCATGGCTCTCTGTGGGTTGCTGCCACGGCATCCACTTGGGCTCCAGGGCTGAGGCGTGGCGTAGCCGACCCTGGGAGCCATTCGGCGTTTTTCGCTGCTGCCCAATTGAGTGTCCAGGCAACCGACAGTCAGACAATCCAATCGATTCGACGAGATGGAGGCCCTGCCTGTCTGTTGTGCTTGTTGGTTTGGCAGTCCTGGGTTGGTTGGCTTGTAACTTTTTGGGTTTCACTGCGGCGGCCGCCTCCCTTTCAAGGCACCACCACCAGCTCCACGATCCAGGTACCATACAGCTGGATGGCGTCCATTGGCTCTAGGTAGACAACTCGATGCAGTCAAATTCGTGGCCCCAATTGCACTTCTGCCTTTATCTCTACTATCCGTCAATCGCCGTGTACTCAAAGTGGGTTGAAGCCGTCTCCAAGTAACTGGATTGCCGGTGGGGCCGATGTCGTGATGGTCCGCAAAACGAGGTCGGGATCGTTAACCTGTTTAGCTGCTTCAACCCTACCCTGAACCAACCTGGAGGCTTCTAGGCTTCCCAAGTGCCCGCTTTTGGCGAGATTTAACGGACGAATGATGCATCATCATGGAACCCATTCTCCATGTCTGCTCATTTTGATGCACGATGAACCCTAGCATGCGTTAGATCGAGATGGCCGGTGGGAGGGAGTCTCTCCATTCAAGGGACACCCCTCTGTTCAACGTCACTCAGTTGCCAGCGATGAAGTTAGATAACGCTCACCAATTGATTGGTTGAGCGCCTGGTTTAACCCTTCTAACGTATTCAACGAGATGTTTTCTGGAAACTTTCATAGGATAGGTATGGTCAGCTCTTAGCAAGACAAGTCCAGTCTTCACGTGAATAAGGTTGGTGTCATCAACGACTGCTGCTCGACATTCGCCATATCTGATGTTTGACTTCTGTGCCCATGTAGGATAATGAGATATATCACTCCCTTCCCTCCTTATAGACGGCTGAATTTAAAACCCCGATAATGAGTATTGATGGTATCACCATGTTGCCAACCCTTTGGGCGGCAGTCTGAGTCTTGGGCTAGAAGAGCCACCGTGATTTCTGCACCAGGACAAGCTTCTGAGAGGAGGACATTCATCTTTCACCAGCGTCGAATATGTGTATACATCTATGAAATGCCAATATCTTGGTCACCAGGATCAGTCGGCGGTCGTCAGCTTGTAAGGCCAATGTAGGATCATCATTGATACACTGCCGCAAACTGTCTTAATAAGAAATTCCTCTATGTCCATAGCTTGAGCTCAACATGTAACCAAAAATAAGCAACCCACACCTCATGAGCCGACTAGCGTGCCCCAAACCAAGTCTGGTCCCTCAAAGATCTGCTACAAAACCCGACAGGTCCTCTTCCTGAATCATCATCATCTGCTTATGCGCCATCCGCGAACTCGTCTCGGTTGTCGATCCGCCCAGCCACCCGCTCCAGATCTTCTGCATCACATTGTCCGGGCTCATCAGCTTACTACCCTTGACAGCCTCGTCATCACCCTCGCCCACCGTCAGTAGAAGCCTCTCAATGGTAGGAAATCCATCAACGACGTGCCACAGACACCCAAAAACCTGATCGCTCTCCTGGCGCGGATAACCCAGCTCGGCCAGCATGCAGGCCACATGCCGTACCCTTCGCGTGTCCTCGCGGCGTAGGAAATACACCATGGGCGAGTTGAAGCCGTACGAGTCGTAAGCCTCCAACTCGCCCGCCAGCCAGACGGCGTCGAGCGCGAAGTTGAACCAGACCCGTGCGGGTGCCGAAACGGGCGTGTCCGAGAGGAGCTTGGAGATGCGCCAGGAAAAGGTGAGCTCGTAGTGCTCCAGCGCGAGATATCGCGATTCGCGGTTGACGTGTAGGAGAACCGGTGCTGATCTGCCGTGAGATCGCGAGTCGAGCTCCTTAATTCTCTCACCAAGGCGCTCATCGCGCTGCATACAGCAGACGACGACGATGCGTGGCTGGATGAGGCAGGACCATATCCTCAGGCGCAGCTCAGGAGGGAGCTGCGTGAACTGGGGAAATGCGGTGAGCGAGGATGGCGATGTCTTCTTGGCATGTGGATGCTCCGAGAGGCCATCATCAAAAGTGCGAAACTCGAGCCAGAATCTGGGGTTCGGGCTCTGCTCCTCGTCAACCTCCGTGTACCTCATGTTGGGCGGGTTAAAGAGAAGGGTAACGTGACTCAATTGGCCTAGAAAATGTAGAAAACCAATATTTAAGCCAGGTCTGATGGGAAACTTCACGTTTTTAGCGGGGGTTTGAGATAAAATAGACGCATCGCATTCGCATCCATGTTTTCCCGTAAGGCCCAAGGTCAGGTCATGCGATTATTGCCGGGAGTTGGTCCTAGCTAATCATTTGCTGTCACTGGAATACATAGACGGCCCGACGGAACTTGGCGCTCCGTGTTCTTTGCTTTATCTAAGGAAATCTTGCTATCTCAGAGGTTATAAGCTGCATTCCGGAGATATATGCGTGTTATAAGTACGGAAGTGTCAACATGTTGTAACCATCTCTTTCATACAGAGTTGACTCTGAGGCGCCGATCTCGGCACCCTGATAATCGGTGTCACCGCCCATGTGATAACACGTCTCACGGTTGTCCAAGCAGGCTCCAGAACACCATTAAACAAACAAAGGGTATATTCTATCTTGCGCTTGAGAAATGTCGTGGTCAAAGAAATCGCTGTCTAAATACTATGTCCATCCAACCTGTTAAAACAACTACCCTCGATAGTACTATCTAGACTTGCTGGTCACCCCGCTCTCCTGAGCCTGGGCTTCCTGACCACCCTCTGCCATGCGAACTCTCAAGTCTATATCCCGCCTTTTCAACCCCAAACTTCTCCTGACCTCTAAGCAGCTTGAGAAGATAGGAGCCTTGAACCACGATGTCTGTTGGGCCCTCCGAGCTGGGAGGGCCCTGGCCAAGCTTGACGTTGCCAAGGCAGGCTGCGAATGGGAATGCCTGAGAGAAGGTTAGCTAACGGTCAAGGAACGGGAGGAGTGTAAACTTACAAGTGCGACAAACGGGGTAATGGCAACGAATGCCCACACAACGCCCATCTTGGCATCGTGAATAGCCTGTCCCTTGAGCTCGCTGGATGATGATGACGACTGGACCTCTGTAAAGTCACTGCTGCTCGAGTCGATCCTAGAAGTGTTGTTAAAGACAGTCGACATGATGGTTAACCCAATAGTGCCGCCGAAAGGAACAGCAACAGCCATCAAGCCGATGACCGAAGCGCGAAGGTTCTTGAACAGGCCAATTCCATGAAGTGGCGAGGCCATGAATCGCATACCACTACCACAGCCAACAAGTGCCATCATTCCAAAGATGGTGCTAAGCTTCTCGGCCCAAATAGCCCAGCCAAGCAGGCCGACACCGATCGCTTCCACAAGAGTTCCCAGGAATACGCAGGGAAAGGTCATGCGGGGCCATCGGTTGCACATGAAAGAGCAGATGTAAACACCAACTATATGAGTGTCAGCAATGAATGTTCAGTGCGTTGGGTTACCATGAGGGGACAAACCTCCCAGTCCAGGAACAAAGTACAGGAGCTGTACACCGGCTTTGTCGGGCTCGTAACCCTGTGATATTGTTAGTTTGCTTCTTGCGCGAACGTGGGCCAAGAACCACATACCCTAACAGCAATGAAGTAGATATTGCAGAAATAGAGCACCTATCCAAGTTAGAAACGTACGGCATACCAAGAACGATAAGCACTTACTGCGTACATGCCCATTCCTGTGGCACACTCGCAATAGAAAAGGAGCCCGATGTCTCTGTTAGAAAGCAAGTCCCAGGGAATCATCGCCCGCTGCCAGGGGAGCTTCTCAGCCATGGTGTTTCCAGGAGCCAAGAGATACTCCCAGTACAGAAAGACGCCGGTGCAGATAACTCCAAGAACGAGGGGGACAATCACAGCGGCCGAACCCCAGGGGTAGGTTGCACCACCCCAAGTCATGGCGAGGATGATGAGGCCAAAGCCAAAGATGAACAGGAGCTGACCACCAACATCCACCGTCTTGAGCCTGGCAATAAACTTGGTCCTTCTTCCGGTTTCGGTGGTTTCGTTGAGCTCAGCGATAGGTTGAGGGCCGAGAAGTTCTTTTCGTAGGAGAAAGAAAATGATGACAAGAGCCACCACGGCAATTGGAAGGTTAATGGCAAAGCACCATCTCCAGTCCGCGTTGGTAAGATATCCTAACAGTCCATGTTAGTCCCAACTATCTCCAAATTGATGCGAATAAAAAAGAAAGAGTAACGTACCACCGATGACAGGGCCAATTGCATAAGAGATGCCACCCACAAGCGCAAAGATGGCCCAATTCCTGGCGTTCTCCTGGAGTGAGACCTTGTCGGCCAGAATGGTACGAACAATAACATTCAGACCAGCTGCTGCAAGACCCTGGAAACCTCGACCAAGCAGAAGAACTGGGAAAGCATTGGTGGGAGCGCCTGTGCAGAGTGCGCTGCCGATCAGCATGAAGATGACGGCTGCGTCGAGGGAGGCGTTTCGGCCAAAGACATCAGCCATCTGTGCCCAGAAGGGGATGAAGGCTGCTGATGTAAGGTTGAATGATGAGACGATCCAGTTTAGTTGTGAAATTTCACCAAAGTCGCGAGCAATCCAAGGGAGAGCGCTTGCGATACTATGAAAGACGTTAACACTAGTAGAGTTGCCAAGTGAAGGACTGCTTACATTGTCGAGTCGAGGGCTTGAAGGGCAAAGGGTGCCACTAGGCCAAGAATGATCTTCCATCGATATTTCGTAGCGGCTTTCTCGTCTGCAGCGCAAGTTGAGCATGGCTCATTGGAGGGCTCAGATCCATCGCGGTGAATGCATTGTGGTTGTTTGTTTGTCGTCTCAGGTTGAGTCTTCTGGAGTTCCATGGGTGGCGCCGGTGGCGTTGTAGGCGTTTTATTACGCTGTGACCGAATGGACTTTTTGACTAACGAGATCATGATACTTTAATAGTGTGGCGGAAGTCAAGGTTGAGAAATGTTATCAGTCAAAGAAGGTTGAGTGAGAGGATGCAGACAAGGGTGTTGGACAGTTGAAGAGTTGGATATGGGATTTGAGATGGAACTTGGAAAAGTGAGGTCAAACAACTGTATTTATCATAAAACTCGAGAACAACCTTGTTCACGGATTCATCATCAATGTCCCACAATACCCCCAAGTTGTGGGTTGTTGAATGAAGCTTGAGTAGATCCATGAGCTACTGAGAGGCTGAGGTGTAACTCTTGAATATATCTCGAATGGCTTTTCCTATTCTAGAAGAGAAACAAAGATCTGAGCCAATGGAAAATCACAGGGACCTCTTTTCAGGGTCGTAATGCGGTCGGATTGACCGTTCCGTGTAGGATGCTATGCTCGTAGGGCTGTGAAACGAGGCAGAAGTGGACCTCGAATGGGTTTCTGAAAACGGTATAGCGCCTCGAATTCTCGAATGGAACTCCGAAATAAGTTAGCGCGTCCTTTTGACAGCTCGAATGAGATGCTCATTCTGGAAAAATCCCCAGGGCAGATTTCAACTATATACGACAACTCATGGAAATCATCACCATCTCCCTGTCATGGAGCTACGCGATCTTACTCGTTGCGACGTAGATGAGGCCTCCCCAAGTGAAGAACGTGCCGGCATCCGTATGATATTCATCTTCTAGTTCTGGCCGCGTAAGATCACATCACTAGATCATCTATTATCACGGTCATCATGTTAGGTAGACTGGGATATGGTCAGATAGATGGTTTTGTGTCTATGCAGTAAAATAGTGCATGAGAATTTCGCGTGTTGACGAAGCTTGCTGATAATCTCAAAGGGAGCATGAGGGAGTTATGGTCGACGAAAGATTGATACTTTGCAGGAAAGGAGCAATTACTAGTTAAGAGTCAGCGAAGTTGGTTGGGAACTGAAGTTAGAGAGGCTGCGATCTTATGTGCAAGGTAATGATAGTGGGCCCCGTTCACTTGTCCGGAGCAGACCCATACCATCCGGCTTTTGCTGAGTGTGGATCGAACCGGGGCCGAGTCCGGGCCTCCGGAAGAGGAGCAGCAGAGCCGGACAAGGGCCCAGTTCGGCGGGACGGCTGGGGATCAACGCCGGGGCTTCGAATCAAACAATTACATCATTTGGCACGTGACCCATCACCTGACATCGCCCCAAAACCTCGGTTGAAAGCCGAGCTGTGTAAGATATCCAAGCGTCAGCTGGTACACGCTTGAAATAGCGGTGCAAATTCAAATTTCCTCAAGATCAAACAAGAGAATCTAGCCCCAGTAATGAAAATTCTTCTACAGATACAATGCTCATGCCGAGAGATGCCCGTTTTGAGGCGACAACAGGGTGCAAGGTCCAAGGTCCAAGCAGGAAGGTGCAAGGCAGGGTTACCCCGCGGGATCCCCCATCTTCCTTCCCCCAATTGCCACGCTGGACGAGCGCCCTCGTCGAGCCAGAATCCAAGAAAAGAAGTAAAAATTTCCCCATGAACAATGTCTCGGCCTCGAGGGTTCGTCCAACAACCTAGCAACTCCTGCAGGCCTTCAATGACACGCCGTCCAGTCACCTTGAGAGGATTCAATCCACCCACACACACTGTCTGCTCTCTTCCGTGGTGCCCGTCATCGGCCTGCTTTTTTGGCGCCGCTCCCCCACTGCGGGAACCACGTTTCGGGGCGCGGCCATGACGAAATGAAGCTGTGGTATCGAAGCTTTTTTTCACTGGCGTCCTTTGGACCGAACCGAGAATGGCCCTGACCGTGGCCGGCCGTCCCAGCCGTTCGCTGTCCGTCCAGCAAGGCACACCCTCTAGGACCGGCTCCGTTGGCCCTCGGGAATGCGAACACTGCCCAGCAGCATGGAGACCAGTACCGCAATGTTATTACCTGTCAGATCTGAAAGCTCTGCGCTGTTGTCGGTTCCCTGCCTGACCTTGCCATCTCTCGGCTTGGCTCCTTGCCACACACCCTTGATTGTTATCACACCCTCTTGAATAATCCTCGTACAGGATATCAAAGTCTTCATTCCGTCTCGGATAGCACCGGTATCACGGCGGAATTGTCTCGAGCAAGAAGCAACCCGGAGAAATAATCTACAAGCCATGATTTTGAGGCCTCTCCGCGTAGAGCTCTCCCGCTTGCGTCGGCCATGCCGGTCGCGAGCAACTCTAGCCTAGAACACGCCCCGGATCGTCAAACTTGTTACCGGCACCGAAATGTGGTCCAGAGTGTCTGCGATCCCTGGATACTAATCGGCCAGGTATGAATGGGCCAGCGTCAGCCCAGGCGACGACTGCCACCCATGATGCCGGGGCCGGTCTTCTCCAAGTCCCACTCTAGCTGTCTTGAATTCGCAAGCGACCATCGCGCCCACCCAAACATAGTGACACCAGGAACGTCCATCACATCAGATCAGATAACCTTTCAAACTCTGGCCGGCACATGAAAGACATCAGACCATTAGACCGCGGCACTCGACTGCCCCCCGGGCATCTTGAGGGCGCGTGCACACAGCAGCAGGAGGACACAAACAGCCACAAGAGAGGGGAAGAGAGACATGGCAATTGCCACCTGACGAGACCCCAACTTCGGTAATGCTCTCGCAGGTGATTTCCCCTCATCACAGGCTGAATCGTGGGGTTCGGGGTTCAGCGTTCAGACCGTCATCCCAGGCCGGACACTCTCCGTCATAAGCTGGCCAACACGCTGGAGAAGCACATCTATCCAGCCAGTTACACGCCGCCCCTCGGCCTCCAACTTGTCTTGGGAGTGGATCCTGTCCGTCCCCGGTCCAGGCTTAGGTGATTGCCTCTGCTCTCCGTCACGGCTCCGAGTCTGGCACCGTTATTGCCAACATCCCGTCGTCCGAAGACAACCTCCAGCTTAGACGGCCTCTAACTGCTGCAAGGCCACTGCTCGGGAGCCTTCCGTGACGGCACAGCGCCCCTCCAACCCGAGCGACACGTTGCGAAGAACCGTTCCTGGCTCTCCCAGGTACTTACTTGTCTGCTCTTGGATGCCACCCGTTTGTCCAGGTACATAGCCGGCCAGCCTCGTGCTTCTTTTCATGCCTCGAGTCCCCTGCCCTGTCGCAACCTGCCTCAGACGCTTTGTCCAGTGATAACGTCCCACCGACTCGGCATCAACTTGTTATTACCGGCTCTCGTCTTGCTCGGGGTTTTCTCGCCTTCTGCATAGCTGTGCGCTGTGGCTCCGTCCCGTCCCCGGTAAGTCTCCGTGCCTGGATCGTTCTACTTCGATACTCCCTGCACCCACGTTCGTTCGGCACTGCTGGCTGTCGGACCTGCGGAGGAGTTTCATCACCTACCGTTTGCCTTGACAGGCCTGCTGGCCCTATCACAGCCGTTGCCTGCCCTCACTCCCCCAGAAGCCATCCCTCTTGCTCGGCTACCCCCAGTTGAGTGCGGAGGGCGTGCGGAGGGTGCGTGGCGGGTCCACTTGACTCTTGTCTAAGTCAGCGAGGTCATGGCCGTTTGCTTTATATCAGAGCCCTGTGCCCTCTCGAGTTGATCCTTTGGACTCTTGTTACCCATCAACCCATCTCCTCCAATACTATAATGCCCATCGTGTAATGCCAGACTATTTCCTACAAGAAAACTGTCACTACTTTTACCGCACCGCTCTCCGCGGCCTCAACGTTAGCACAAGCGTGTCACCTCTTTACGCTTAGACTTCGTTTTCTCATCGACTCCTACGACCCTCACAACTGACACCATGACTCAAGTCCGCACCTTTACCCTTCCCCAGCCTCTTGGAGAGAGACTCTCTGAGCCTACTCCCAAGTCGGCACCCATCGACGCCTCGGTTCCCCGTTCTGTTCCTGAGATTCCCGAACTTCCTCAACAACGACGTGACTCGTCCGCCAGACTCAACGGCGACTACAAGCGAGTTCCCATGGCTACCTACAACGAGTCCAAGAAGGAGGGCGGCATCACCTTCTCCGGCCAGGACAAACTCCCGAAGCTTCCCATCCCTGAGCTGGACGCCACCTGCAAGCGATACCTCGAATCCCTTAAGCCCCTCCAGACGGCCCGGGAACACGCAGAGACCCAGCATGCTGTGAACGAGTTCCTCAAGGGCGATGGCCCTGAGCTGCAGGAGAAGCTGAAGGCTTATGCCCAGGGAAAGACTAGCTACATTGAGCAGTTTTGTATGTATTAGCTCTTTCACTCTTTCAAATCATCACTAACATTTGACAGGGTATGACTCCTACCTGAACTACGATAACCCCGTTGTTCTTAACCTCAACCCCTTCTTCCTCCTGGAAGATGATCCGACCCCCGCTCGCAACAACCAGGTCACCCGAGCGGCATCCCTGGTTGCCTCATCCCTCGAGTTTGTCCGAGCCGTCCGCAAGGAGGAGCTTGCCCCAGACAAGATCAAGGGCACCCCCCTGTGCATGTACCAGTTTTCCCGACTCTTCGGCACTGCCCGAGTCCCTACCGAGGCCGGTTGCCAGATCGAGCAGGACCCTGAGTCGAAGCACATTGTCGTCATGTGCCATGGCCAGTTCTACTGGTTTGATGTCTTGGACGACAACTCGGATGTCATCATGACCGAGAAGGACATTTCCATCAACCTCCAGACCATCATCGATGATGCCACTCAAATCCCCATCCAGGATGCCGCCAAGGGTGCCCTGGGCGTTCTGAGCACTGAGAACCGCAAGGTCTGGTCTGGACTTCGAGACGTCCTTACCAGCGAGCCTGATTCCAACAACGCCGACTCTCTCGGCATTGTCGACTCAGCCCTCTTCATCCTCTGCCTAGACTACACGGAGCCTACCGATGCCGCTGCTCTGTGCCAGAACATGCTTTGCGGTACCAGTGAGATCGAGAAGGGTGTCCAGATCGGAACTTGCACCAACCGATGGTATGACAAACTCCAGATAATTGTCTGCAAGAACGGAAGTGCCGGGATCAACTTTGAGCACACGGGCGTC